TACTGCTGGTTCGTACATAAAAGTTGTGTGGCATGCATGACTCATCGCCAAGTGCTCGTTGATCGTGACGTTGATTCGATGACAGGCGATAACTCTTTCGGACAGACGCAATTCGATTATTCAATGAACAAGGACCTTGTCGTTGAATCATCGAAATCCTTAGGCGATTAGCGCTGAGTCGCAGTCGTCATCACTGTCGCCGTATTCGTCACCACTGTCGCCATCGACACGGTGAGTGAGCCTTGGCGAAAATCTCGCAGTGGCCCCGGACTCGAGCAGCCAAAGCTAAAGCAGTGACGGCACAAGAAGCAGAAACAGAGGAAGAGGCAAATGAACTCAGCTCGGCAAAAATGACTAATGTCTATTGTCACCGGTTGGTCAGCGTCTTCGCTTGCCGCTGTTCATCATCATCATCGTCGTCGTCGTCGTCGCCGCCGCCATTCAGCGAGCTCTAGTAATTGGATTTGAGTTGTTGCATGAATATGAGGAAGCAACCTAAACCCGCATTGAGCCTCGATCACCGCAACGACGGACCGGCACCGCCGACCCAGCTGTGACTCACCGTCAACCTCTCAAGCTGTGCTGTCCTCGCAACCTGAAACCTCCTGACCGACTGACCGCCCGACCGATCAGCCGTCTTCGTCTGTTTCGCCCTGTCATATATCTTATTCATCAGCCGATCGCCTCGTTCTTGCCGGCACCGACGGAAGATATGAACGGCTGGCGTCATCTATGGACAACAGTTGTGCTGTTTCAGGTACGGCTGTAATTAACGCGCAGTCGCTGACGTTGCGTCGAGGGTGGAGTCACTTACCTGTTCCTCAGGCAGCCGTCCCTTGCCTACATCGCCTGTTGTGTACATGGCAGAAGCTGACGGCTTCAGCCACGCCTGTGAACACTCTGTAGACCCGTCGCATCTCGCCGAAGCTGTGGTGCAGGTATTTGGGGCTGCACAGTCAGAGACGAACCGAGTTTTATTCTGATATGCAAGGATACGCTGCTCGCTCCTCTGCCTCTGCCGTTCCCCTGTCCTCGTCTTGGCCTCCGAGTAGCTGCTGGACAACATTCGCCAGCAACGTGTGCTAGATACACTAGAAAATGGCTGTTACCCGAGGTCTATATCAGATTACTCATGTGTTTCTGTAGGCGCTTTTTACCAATCAGGAAACAGTGGAAGTCCCCGGTTTCTTTCATCTTTCAGGCTATGAACCAGTAAGCTTCAAACCATATCTACTATGCGTATTGGAAAAGATAATTGTAGTTTGCAAAGAACGGTAGTAGCCCTACAGACTTCAGTGAGTCAGTTTTGCTTTCTATGTACTAATTATATCCACGCTGATTTTGCCACAAAAGTTGCAGTAGCGAGGCCCACAGATCGAAAAATATGGCTACGAGTCTTATACATACATACGATCCTCTCGCTGTCTGTCTCTAGAGTGATAATGCCGAAATAGTTTGGGTTGAACTCGTTGATCGAGAGGTAATTTTCCAAACGAATCCGCAGTTGTGAGGTGCAGCTAAATTGCTACTAACTCAACCTATGCTATCACTTTGGACCCCCGAGCCGAAACTAGTGGTTTGTACCATGCCGATGGATGGAAAACGCCAAGGCAAACGCGCACAATTCTATTAGTGATTGTTGTACATGACGCTCCTGTCTGCATTTGGACAGTCTTTCATTGTTGACCAGCATCCGCCGTTTTCGAATCACTGCTGCATGAAGACCTCTCCAAAACTTTGCCATAAACTTCTGTTTTCCATCCATTTCTATCCATACAACATCCGCAGCTCGTCCTCAATCGATCTGGAGGTCGTCCTACGGTACATATTCATTCTGTTGAAGTCAGATTAATGTTTCTCTGCTCCAGCGATGGCGGATTCTTCCTGCAACGTGTTCTGTCCATTGCCAATTTAACTTCTTTCCTCTGACAGTGCCACCGCAAGCTGCTGCCTGCGCTTTAAACCATTCCTTCGTCTTTCTATTTTTTTCTTGTTATTCCTAGCATACATCTTTCGATGCTACGTCGCGTAATCAGCTGGTTATAGATAGTTTTCCGGCTTAGATTCCACGCTTAGCTTCCATATGTTCGCACAGGGGCACGCACTGATCGACAATTCTCCGATTCAAGCACAATAGGTTTTCTCTGATTATATTATCGCTTACTATATTAACTATTAATCGCTGTGAGAAATAAGACCGTGCCAAGATTCGATCCTGTAACGCTGCAACGCATATCCAAGCCATCATCCTCTGATCTAGAGCCTTCGCGCGTAAAATACATTCAAACCAGGTCTTAACACAATTGTAATTAATCATTGGACCTCTGGCTACATCTCGGATTAATGATCATTGCTTCATGTCATCATTCGATAAATAGTTTTTTATGAACAAACTAAAGAAGTGTGTTACTGCATTCACTGCGATAATAAATTTACGGCGCCGTGTGGTGACAAATGATCCGCTGTGTTAAGCTAGTCAAAACTGGCATTGGTTGTCGTGTAACTTGCTGTGTTCCACATCATGGCCGAGTACCTGTGGGAGATCGTATATTCGGCTGCAGTACGACTGCATATAAAGACAGTTCTTGAACGAAACGCCACAGTGAAAAGGCTGGATCAGGGCACCATCCTAAGTCTCTTAGGCTTTGGCAAAATCTCGGCTATAAATTTTTGGGCTGTTTGGTATATAAGAAAAATTGATCGAAAAATTAAAATAATTTTTGAGGCGGGGGGGGGTAGAGGAAGAATTGCTTTTGAAACTTATTCTCTTGTACGAAAGGAGTTTCGCCACTATGCGAGAAACTCAATCGCATGGACTTAGTTCAGAGAGGTAGAGACACCATCAGTGGCCAGCAACGGTTGACGTTCTTCGCCCCTTTTCCATTACAGACCCTGGGTTGTTGAATTTCGCTATGCTTGTGGGATGAGTGGTTTTCGTTCATAAACAGGTGTGACACCAAACCCTGAATTCTGACCATCGCTAGTCCTGCATCTACGTAAAATTTTGTTTAGGCCACGCAGCGATCCAATTGGATATATGGAAAAGAACAGGAAACGCAGTTTCAATCACTCAAGCATTAATCCTCTCAATCCTGTTGCCCCAAATCCTATTTTGCTTGACGATCATGACGACAACAGATCAGTTAACTTTGTTGCAAAGTCAACAGGACCGAAATAACATGTCACAGAAGGTGTATGGTCGACTCTTTAATATTCGTTTCTACGGTCTTAACTTCCTAACGATGTTCGGCATGCCGAGATGGTCCGCAAGTGGCGTCCCATCTGTTTATTCGAGGGTGAATTTGTGCCACAGCAAAAAATATGGGTTCCTGCATTACGAGTACTTAATTGCTCCAATCACCTGATTACTTAGCGTACTGGCACTGCTTTCGCAGGCCTTACTGTCTGAGGTGCGAATGTGTGAGTGATTGAGTGAGCGCAGGAGAGGAGGGGAGTATTTTTGGCAGACCTCTTTGTGGAGTCTCACAACTTGCAGCTCTGGAGGCTTCTCGTTTCATCGTAGGAACTGGAGCAAACGCACCTGGTGATGTCAAGGTGGTTTCTTTAACCAGTGAAATGGTGCCAAAAACATCTAGCACTGCATATGCTGATCTTACATACAGTATCTCAAAGTAGCCGGGGACAAGCGGTAGTTCATTTCGCTGTGAATTCTAGTGAACCGATGAACCTCATCCTCTTCTGACTGCTTTCAAATCAGTTCAGTTACAAAGATTTGCTTACGTTATCTAAGCGGCCGACATCATGCATACAAAACCAAGTCTTTCGTTACTAACAATACGTTATGAAAATGGTCGGCCCTTTCTATCATCCTCTTTAGCCAATAAATTCATATGCCTTCATCTACAGCAGGTGTAGTTCATTTTCGTTGTTCCTCAAGCGTTACCGTACAAATGGATCCGAGAGCGGCCGTATATCTTAAATGCGGTGGTTAGCGGTGCACACGACATGAACACATCTTTGGCAGCTGCCCATTTCCTCCTAGTTCCTCCCACCACTTGATGACGCATCCGTGAAAGCGACGGTACTCTTTGTTTTTTTCCATGTCTCTTCCACCCACGCGTTTCCCTTTGTCTATTACCGTAATCCTTACCATAACAACTTCCTTATGCTGGCCAATCGATTAATCCGCCACCTGAGATAGCCAGTGAACGTCTTTCACATGTTGTCACGTTCTCCGCCATTTTCATTCTGGTCTCATAGTCCTCTTGTCTTATGGCATGTGGCTCATTTCCAAACACAGTCCCTGAAGGTCCTCTTTGGATACTATAGGTTTATAGTTTACCGAAATTCACTTTTTATAATGGATATCTGTTGGTTTGGAAGTATGTCGAAGCTACAAGCACGTGTCTCAAATTGTCATAAAAATTAAACAAAGAGATGGTGTGATCAGAGCTTCTCTTTGGCTTGCTTTATGCGTGGTTTCGAATTGTTGCACAAATCACATGCAAATACAGAGACTGGTACAGTTCTGATCAGCAGCGTTGGCATTCCATATCACTGAGGGTCCACTAATTTTGCAGTAATTGATGATTGACTTAGTGTAACTGTATTTAAGCTGTATTTACAATATACAACCTCGGAGTCTTGTTCAGCTACAACTTTGTAATTGGCTAAGAAGGACTTACTTCATAGATCGATAGTGTCAAATTAAGGATTTAATGCTAATGATTTTGATTACATTTTCTTCTCGATTATATATGGCGTTCTGCTATTTTATGTTTATAACGGCCTCCAATGTACATATCAGAATCGCAAAATAACATTCATAACAAACAGAATCGATTCAAACATTCTGAAGTTATAATCAGAGAACAAATCATGGAAAATGATAACTGTTACATCTGTTTCATTTAAATTACTGATGCCGGATTTACACGAAGAAAACTCACCGATCTTTGCTTCTAGTTGAAAAGGGACCATTTATGCAGTCCACAGCTTCATGGTGTTTAAATACCTGCAGTGATGTGTTGCAAGATCACGTCTTTGATTTGGGTTGAACATGGGTCCGATGCGGCCTTGTTCAGAATTCATTGCAGGAACTTAAATACTATGAACCAGTGCCTGTTCACGCGGTCCTCTAACTCAACTAGAACAGAGGGGCGGTGAGTTTTCGGCTTGCAAATCCGTTATCAGTTATTGAATTATGATATTTACCTATGGAATTGCCACAGCAATGCTTTCAGAACTTGTTTCGTGATGCAGGTCATTCGTCATAGAGCAAGCTCGAGGATCAGATTGATTCTAAGTCACGACAACGTCAGATCTCCTTTTGGTTTCGTTTTGTCCTCGATTGTATGCCTTGTATCGTTGTGAACAGAATCAACCTCCCGAGTATTTCTTCTGACACGCTGATTCTCTGTCCTGTTCTGCGAACTATGAGTACTGCTGAATAACATTTAATGATAAGTCTTTATTGGACGTTGTTACTTCGAGAAAGTTTCATGAGGTATGGAAGGATTGGGTGTTGCCATCATTATTCTACTGTTGCTACCCTCAGTAGAACAGCCATCTGGAATAACGTCCAGTACTGCTGCTATCGATCACGCACATTGTCCGTCACCAGGTTCGACCAGTCTTTCTTCAGCCGTTTGTTCCCGACACTGCCTACTCAAAAAGACCTCAGCGTCAGTTCTGACAGTGTCGCGCCGAGTCTTAACTTGTCCGCTTTTTTCCTCAATTCTATCCATCAAGCACCGGAGTGGTGGCGTTCATTGTAATAGAGGACATATTGTCTTGTGGATGCCTCAATAAGTACCCCAGTCAACGCAGCCGCTGTTCTTTAAGGGGAACGCGAAGCTGGATGATGTTGCAGCGTGCACCGATTGTGGCTGTATTGAAAAATAGGACAAAAATGAGGAAGAATTTAAATTGAATTCTTCAAAACGCTGGTGGTCCAACCTGCTCGTTTGTGACCCGGTTACCATCGACTTTTAGATACTTTGCAAACAGCTTGAGTTACAGAGTTCGAAATATTTCCGTCACCTTCAAAATCCTCCGTGGATATTGTCTTGCGATCAGGACAATTGACTCATACCTGCATTTTTGCTATGCTTCAGTGACCGTTTCACTCACAGCCACCATCGTTATTTTGACCAGTTCCTTTGAGGCATCCTACGGCATCACGTCTGCGTTCTGTGGAAAGTTTAGGCAATGCTCGAATGTGCAGTCAAACACAGATATGCTTGATGTGCTTTCTTACACTGTAGGAAATGAAGTGCTACGAAGTCGTTGCCTACTTAGATGGTCTCCTAGGAATCTCGTAGCAGTTGCATTCCGTTTACGTATTTATGACTGATATTATGAAACGGTATTATCACTGGCGGAATTGAAAAGCTACCATTTATGATGAGTACCTCAGAGCATCGGAGATACGTTTTCTTTATGAATCAAAATAAGTAGCACACGTCTTCATGCGCTCAGCTTCTGCACCGTTTGCTATATAATATAGTTCACTTCAATAAGACTCCACTGCTAACAGCACCACTGACGATTAATGATCATTTTGTTCCGTTTGAGGAATGCCATGATTACGGTATTTGTGAAGTGAAGAAATACGGTTACTCATGGTCACATGAAAATGCTGTTTATATGACAGAGGTTTTATTTCGTTTTGCTGCATACCGTCCGTACAAACGGTTCATTTTTAGATGACGTCGTCTGAGATCCACATGAAGGTGAAATCATGTGACATGATGTACTTATGTACGCCGGAAGAAATTGCCATCAATCCGCTGTGCGGCACAGACGGTCGGACGTATAACAGTCTGTGCGAGGTGAAAAAGGTGTCCTGCCACGGCAGTCCCGTCCAGGTGACCTACCGTGGTCCTTG